AGGTCTCTTCCAACTCTTTGATTCTATGATTCTATAATTATTTCTGCATTTGAGTTATTAAAATATTCCCATCCAAACCCAAATAACACAGGTGGAGGCATTACTTTTCATTCAACCCTCGTAAATAAAGATTATTATTGTATTGTCAAAGGCGTTCATGGCTGGAATCACTGGGCCACTGTGAGTTTGTTGGACTGCATGGCCATGTTCCCAAGCATTCTCTTCTGATGTTTCCCCTGCATCTAGGACAGTCATCCTCAGAGGTTCTTCAGGCTAAACATGCCCAGCTCTTTAAGCCGCTCCTCATAGGGCTTGTTCTCCAGACCCTTGATCATTTGAGTCGCCCTCCTCTGGACACATTCCAGCTTGTCAAGATCTCGCTTCAACTGTGGTGCCCAGAATTGGACACATGGGCAGGGTCATGCAAATTGGAGAGTAAAAAACACTGGGATGTCTGTGGTGGAGGACAAACAGAAAATTTAGAATGAAGTTGTCACTTGGGTGGTAGGCAGTATGGCATTTGTGGAGGACATTGGCAGGACTCTTGGACATGTTCACGGCACTCACTATAACCTGCAATGTCATTGGACGGAGGGATTTTGGTGGCTCCTCGGCACTGCGGGTTAAGGCTGTTTGTGGAAGTGGACACCCCGGACTCACACATACATACATATTTTCACTTTTATTATGTGTATAGATATTGGAAATGATTCCCAAGAAGCAGACAAAGGGAACACATTGCTTCCCTTCTAGATCGGAATGCCAATCCCGGCTCCTTCATTTTGGTTGAGGATATACAACTAGCAATTTTCCAAGCCTGCAGAAAGTATGGTCCGGATGTGCCGTTCCCTTGGCTCATGCCAGCCCTCGGCTTTGGCATGGAAAGCAAATGAGGTAGGCCAAGTTTTGGTGAATGCCAAGAAAGAGTTCCCAAAGGCGACGGCAAACCTCGAGAGCGCTCCCGTCCCTGCCCTGCCCTCCAAGGCGTCAACCGTGGGCCAACGTCATCATCCGCGCCTCCAGAGATAGGTCTGAATGGAGTTGGCAGGGATTTCGGTCAGGATCATGCCGGCGTGATCGGAAATCCCAAAGGAGACATTCAAGCCGGATCTGAAACAGCATAATGAAGACCAAATGTCATTACGTTTATTTATGGATATAATATGCATGCAAACACCCACATGCTATTCCCACCACCTGCTTCCTTGTCACCTCTATGTGAGAACCTATGTCGCCCTTGGAATGGTGCATTTCCATATAAGAGATTGAGAAGCCTGACAGTTTTTTCCCTCACCTCTGGGAAGGCTTTATTTCTAAAAGTGTACATTGTGGTAAGAAGCAAAATTTCAACTGATAGTTTTTTCCCTCACGCCTCTGGGAAGGCTTTATTTCTAAAAGCATACATTGTGGTATGAATCAAAATTCCAACTGACAGTTTTTTCCCTCACGCCTCTGGGAAGGCTTTATTTCTAAAAGCATACATTGTGGTAAGAAGCAAAATTCCAACTGACAGTTTTTCCCCTCACACCTCTGGGAAGGCTTTATTTCTAAAAGCATACATTGTGGTACAAAGCAAAATTCCAACTGACAGCCTCTGAGAAGGCTTTATTTCTAAAAGTATACATTGTGGTACGAAGCAAAATTCCAACTGGCAGTTTTTTCCCCTCACGCCTCTGGGAAGGCTTTATTTCTAAAAGCATACATTGTGGTACAAAGCAAAATTCCAACTGACGGTTTTTTTCCCCCTCACACCTCTGAGAAGGCCTTATTTCTAAAAGCATACATTGTGGTATGAAGCAAAATTCCAACTGGCATTTTTTTTCCCTCACGCCTCTGAGAAGGCCTTATTTCTAAAAGCATACATTGTGGTATGAAGCAAAATTCCAACTGACAGTTTTTTTTCCTCATGCCAAAAGTATGTCTGCCTGTAGCACAACAGCTGTTGCTAGGTGAAGTGGCCCTCCGTGATACTACTGGGGAAGAAAAATGACCTGTGTATTAGGGGAAGGAAGGAAATAAGGAAAGAAAGAGAAAAAGAAGGGAGAGAAAGGAGAAGAAAGAAAGAGAAAAGAAGGAAGGAAAGAGAAAGAAGGGATGAAAGTAGCAGAAAGTAGGACACCCCAGTTATAGTGTATCTATATATTATATATTGTACTGTCTGGATCTGTAGCTTTCTGGTGAAAAAATTACCTCATAATCAAAGTGGGAAGGGTTTATTTCTAAAAGCATACATTGTGGTACGAAGCAAAATTCCAACTGACAGTTTTTTCCCTCACACCTCTGGGAAGGCTTTATTTCTAAAAGCATACATTGTGGTATGAAGCAAAATTCCAACTGATAGTTTTTCCCTCACGCCTCTGAGAAGGCTTTGTTTCTAAAAGCATACATTTGTGGTACGAAGCAAAATTCCAACTGACAGTTTTTTCCCTCACGCCTCCGGGAAGGCCTTATTTCTAAAAGCATACATTGTGGTACGAAGCAAAATTCCAACTGACAGTTTTTTCCCTCACGCCTCTTGAGATGGCTTTATTTCTAAAAGCATACATTGTGGTAAGAAGCAAAATTCCAACTGACAGTTTTTCCCCTCATGCCAAAAGTATGTCTGCCTGTAGCACAACAGCTGTTGCTAGGTGAAGTGGCCTTCCATGATGCTACTGGGGAAGAAAAATGACCTGTGCATTAGGGGAAGGAAGGAAATAAGGAAAGAAACAGAAAAAGAAGGGAGAGAAAGGAGAAGAAAGAAAGAGAAAGGGGCGAAGGAAGGAAGAGAAAAGAGGAGGGGGGGAAGGTACAAGGAAGGAAAGACAAAGAAGGGATGAAAGTAGCAGACAGTGGCCCATCCGACACATAAGACACCCGTTATAGTGTATCTATATATTATATATTGTACTGTCTGGATCTGTAGCTTTCTGGCGAAAAAATTACCGCATGATCAAAGTGGGAAGGTTTTATTTCTAAAAGCATACATTGTGGTACGAAGCAAAATTCCAACTGACAGTTTTTTCCCCTCATGCCTCTGAGAAGGCTTTATTTCTAAAAGCATACATTGTGGTAAGAAGCAAAATTCCAACTAATTACCTCTCAACAAAGGTTTGCTCCAGGCACAGTCAGCCCATATGCTAATCAAAGTGGTCAGTTGAAACATTCACACCTAGCTCCAGCAGACAAGAGTCCTTTGTCTCACCCTGGTCATTCCACAGATATATAAACCCTTTTTCCTAGTTCCAACAGACCTCACTACCTCTGAGGATGCTTGCCATAGATGCAGGCGAAATGTCAGAAGAGAATACCACTAGACCATGGCCATACAGCCCAAAAAAACCTACAACAACCCAAAATTCCAACTGACAGTTTTTTTCCCTCACGCCTCTGGGAAAGCTTTATTTCTAAAAGCATACATTGTGATACGAAGCAAACTTCCAACTGACAGTTTTTTTTCCCTCACGCCTCTGGGAAGGCTTTATTTCTAAAAGCATACATTGTGGTACGAAGCAAAATTCCAACTGACAGTTTTTTCCCTTATGCCTCCTATCTCTCACTCTGGCTCCTCCCCTTCGTTGCTCCGGTTTCCATTGTTGTCTCATTGTGTCCCATTTCTCTATCATGTCTTTCTGGAACTGTTTTGTTTTATTTTGTTATGTTATGTATTTATTTTGATGGTATTGTTGGGTCCTTTTATTTTATTTTGCTGTACTTGTATTGTATTTTGTTGTAATTTTAGGCTTGGCTTCATGTTAGCCGTCCCAAGTCCCCTTTGGGGAGATGGTGGCGGGGTGTAAATAATAATAATAATAATAATAATAATAATAATAATAATAATAATATTCGCTGATACATCACACAGTCCTAGACACTTGGGAAGTGTCTGACGCGTGATCCAATACAACAGCCTGCAGAGTGTCTGTTGTGGACTCATCTTGTTGTGTTTCAAATGAGTCCACAGCAGACACTCTGCTGGCTGTTGTATTGGATCACACTTTGGACACTTCCCAAGTGTCTAGGACTGTGTGATGTATTGGCAAATAATGTGTGCAAATCCCAGAAAGGTGGCCTTTTGCAGCTGGCAGGTGGTAATCTTGTCAGCGCCGATTGTCTTTAAGTGCAGGCCAAGGTCTTTAGGCACTGCACCCAGTGTGCCGATCACCTCTGGGACCACCTTTACTGGTTTGTGCCGGAATCTTTGCAGTTCAATCTTTAAATCTTCATATTGTGTCATCTTTTCCAGTTGTTTCTCTTCGATCCTGCTGTCACATCGACAATCCATACTTTTTAAAATTATTATTATTATTATTATTATTATTATTATTGTTTTTTGAAAATAAATACTCACCGGTTGAGGACAACCATCACGGCTGACCCATCGGGGCGAAGGGCGGCCACATGCTCCAAGTTGCAACCCAGGCATTTCTGGATGACGGTCAAGCCAACCCGCTGGGAGCCTTCTGGGATGAATTTACTGCAAAGACATGGCGGAAGGTGCAATCAAGTTCACAAACTTCCCCTTTCCGCAGGTTCGAGGCCTGGGGTGTGCCCAGCTGGCACATCCAATGGCCGCTAGTATGACGATGATATGTATTTATATGCCCCCTTTCCTCTCCCAAACGCTGCCCCACCTGAAGTGCCCCATGTGGTAGAACATGGGCTGTTTGTAGAAGACGTCGTTGGCCGCGTCCACGATGATCGGACTGTCCACAAAGTTCTTGACCCAGTTGGGGCCCCCTTCTAAATTCAGAGCCAGGTTCCAGTCGACCCAGCCTGTAACGTGGTTGTTGAGGTTCTACGGAGAGAAGAAAGCAGAAGGATTAGGACGGCGGCAGGATTTTAGGAAGAGGTTGGATGGTCGTCTGTTGGGAGGACTTTAATGGTGTCTTCCTGCTCATTAGAACAACAACATTAATAACAATAATATCATCATCTTTGATAATAATGTTGATGTGTTGGGAGGGCTTTGTTGATATCTTCCTGCTTGTTAGAACAATAATAACAATAACAATATAATCTTTGATAATAATGACATATTGGGTGAGCTTTGTTGATATCTTCCTGCTCTTAGAACAACAATAACAGTAACAATATAATCTTTGATAATAATGATGGGTTGGAAGGGCTTTGTTGGTGCTTGTTAGAACAACAACAGCAACATCATAATCTTTGATAATAATGATGACATATTGGGAGGGTTTTGATGGTGACTTCCTGTTTGTTAGAACAACAATAACAATATAATCTTTGACAATAATGATGTGTTGGAAGGGCTTTGTTGGTGCTGTCCTGCTACCATTTCCGCTCCCTTGGCAGCCACTTCTCCACAAAAGTCAACATTGACACTGAAATATAACACCGCCTGAGCTCTGCGAGTGCAGCATATTTCTGAATGAAGCAGAGAGTGTTTGAGGACCGGGACATCCGTAGAGATGCCAAGGTGCTTGTTTAGAAAGCTATTGTCCTCCCAACCCTGTTCTACATCTGTGAGACGTGGACTGTCTACAGACGTCAACATTGACACTAAAAGACAACACCGTCTGAGCTCTGCGAGTGCAGCATTTTTCTGAATGAAGCACAGAGTGTTTGAAGACCGGGACATCCGTAGGGATATCAAGGTGCTTGTTTAGAAAGCTATTGTCCTCCCAACCCTGCTCTATGCCTGTGAGACGTGGACTGTCTACAGATGTCAACACTGACACTGAAATACAACACCGCCTGAGCTCTGCAAACGCAGCATTTCTCCGAATGAAGCACAGAGTGTTTGAAGACCAGGACATCCGTAGGGATATCAAGGTGCTTGTTTATAAAGCTATTGTCCTCCCAACCCTGCTCTATGCCTGTGAGACGTGAACTGTCTACAGATGTCAACATTGACACTGAAATAACACCGCCTGAGCTCTGAGTGCAGCATTTTTCCGAATGAAGCACAGAGTGTTTGAGGACCAGGACAGCCATAGGGATATCAAGGTGCTTGTTTATAACTATTGTCCTCCCAACCCTGCTATCCATGCCTGTGAGACGTGGACTGTCTACAGACGTCACATGCAACTCCTGGAACGATTCCATCAGCGCTGCCTCCGGAAAATCCTGCAAATCTCTTGGGAAGACAAGTGGACAAACGTCAGCGTGCTGGAAGGAGCAAAGACCACCAGCATTGAAGCGATGGTCCCTTTCCATCAACTCCGCTGGACCGGCCACATTGTCCGGATGCCCGACCCCCGTCTCCCAAAGCAGTTGCTCTACTCCGAACTCAAGAACGGAAAACGGAATGTTGGTGGGACAGGAAAAGAGATTTAAAGATGGGCTCAAAGCCAACCTTAAAAACTCTGGCATAGACAGTGAGAACTGGGAAGCCCTGGCCCTTGAGCTCCAGCTGGAGGTCAGCTGTGACCAGCAGTGCTGTAGAATTAGAAGAGGCACGAATGGAGGGCGAAAGAGAGAAACATGCTAAGAGGAAGGTACATCAAGCCAACCTCGACCGGGACCGCCTTCCACCTGGAAACCAATTCCCTCACTGCGGGAGAAGATGCAGATCAAGAAGAGGGCTCCACAGTCACTTATGGACCCACCACCAGAACATCATCATCTTTGGACTACGAGGATTGTGTAAGTAAGTAAGTAAGTAAGTAAGTAAGTAAGTAAGTAAGGTTAGAATGGGGTTGGACTAGATGCCCCACGGGTCTCTTCCAACTCTATAACTCTCTAAAGGCTATTTCTTTCCCTCTCTTTTCCACCCAAGGCCTTACCGCCAAGATGCTGCGGCTGTACTGGTTGCCCCGATCCCAAGAGCCGAGCATGACATCCTTCTCCCAGAAGTGTGCTCCAGCACAGGCTTCTGTCGAAATCACAAAATAGTCCGGATAGAGCTGATGCGTGATCGCCACTGTGTCCGCAATGGGAGCGATGAAGTCTAGGTACCAGTGGACACCGATGCCATGGACGTAGCGGTAGGCCTTGCTGTCTCCACTCAGCACCTGGCACAGAGAAAGGAAAACACATCAAACGCAAGCTCTCCACAGAATTGAAATATTGAAAGGGCAGACCTCACAACCTCTGAGGATGCTTGCCATAGATGCAGGCGAAACGTCAGGAGGGAATGCCTCTGGAGCATGGCCATATAGCCCGACAAAACCTACAACAACCCAATGATTCTGGCCATGAAAGCCTTCGACAATACATCTGCAGGATGTATTTCCATTCACTGGACCAAATTTCACACAAATACCCGATACACCCAAATTTGAATACTGGTGGGGTTTGGGGGGGGGGGGGGGGGGGGTAATTTTGTCATTGTAGTTGCTGGGATTTGTAGTTCACCTGCAATAAAAGAGCATTCGGAACTCCACCAACAATGGAAATCGGTCAAAATTGGCACACAGAACTCCAATGACCAACAGAAAATACTGGGAGGGTTAGGTGGGCATTGACCTTGACTTTAGGAGTTGTAGTTCACCTACATTAGAGAACACTGTGGACTAAAACAATGATGGATCTGGGCCTAACTTGGTACGAATAACCAATATGCTGAAATGTGAACACTGGTGGAGTTTGGGGAAAATAGAGCTTGACATTTGGGAGTTGTAGTTGCTGGGATTTATAGTTCCCCTAAAATCAAAGAGCATTCTGAACTCCACCAAGGATGGACCTGAACCAAACTTGGCACACAGAACTCCCAAGATCAATAGAAAAAACTGGAAGGGTTGGGGGGGATTGATTTTGTCATTTGGGAGTTGTAGTTGCTGGGATTTATAGTTCACCTACAATCAAAGAGCATTTTGAACTCCACCAAGGATGGAACTGAACGAAACTTGGCACACAGAACTTCCAAGATCAATAGAAAAAACTGGAAGGGTTGGGGGGGATTGATTTTGTCATTTGGGAGTTGTAGTTGCTGGGATTTATAGTTCACCTACAATCAAAGAGCATTGCGAACCCCACCGATGACAGAATTGGGCCAAACTTCAGACACAGAACTTCCATGATCAACAGAAAATACTGTGTTTTCTGATGGTCTTTGGCAACGCCTTTGACACCCCCTCGCGACCCCCCTAGGGATCCTGACCCCCAGGTTGAGAAAACTGCTTTAGGTGCTCTTACTGCCTATTACAGGAAAAATCAGCTGATTCCTCAACATCAACAATGGTACATCCTTTCAACCATTTATTTGCAGCCATAGGGACTACGAGTTTGGTTTAATAAAGAAGATGAAAAAGATTTCATGGAAGCTGGAGTGAAAAGCCATGCACCCAAAACTTTCATCATATGGCAACGTACCACTTTGGCCCAGTGGGGCAGATGCACCCGGTTGTCATCTAGGATGATGAGACGGATGTCCTTGTGGGAGCTGTTTGCTAGGGCCGGCCCCAGGTCCAGGGCAATGAAGTCTCGTTGCTGCTCAGCCGTGAAGCCCAAGCATTGGAAAGGGTAGCCATCGATCAGCCCAGCTGTCGGCTCATTCTCGGCCGTCACGGCCCAGAAGGTCAAATTATGCTTGGCGTACTCATCGAGGAACCTGGAGGAAGAGAGGCACCCAAAGCGATACGTATATCTTTCATACCCACATAGGATTCCTTCCTCATCATCAAAATGTTTAGCCGGTATTGCACCACCTGACATGCCGCATTATCACGGGGTCTCTGCGCCCTACACCACTGTGGAAATTACACTGTCTAGCCGGTATTGCACCACCTGACATCCGCCGGGAAGCAGCAGCCAATAGTGAAAGGACAAGGCAGTGACATCTCCAGCTCATCCCTTGTTTGGGTATCAGCCAGCACGGCAACGGCTTAAATCAAGAAATAGTTTTCTAAGATCTACAGAGACATTCGCTGGAACACCTCAGCAAGCGAGAGTCCAAAAGTGGCAGGCTCAAATCCAGAAGCTCAATCCGTGGGTGATACCAGATGAGAGACTCACCCCTGGGCACACAAAGGACTGGGTGACTTGGAAGGCGCTGAACAGACTGTGCTCTGGCACCACGAGATGCAGAACCAACCTCAAGAAATGGGGCCACAAAGTGGAATCCATGACATGCAAGTGCGGAGAAGAGCAAACTAATTTGGATTAATCCACTGATGTCCTTCCAGCTCCTTTCATAAACTATCATGACTCCAAAACTGCACTCCTTTCTCTTCCCTTGAGAAAAGGAGGCAAGTGACCAGATGGCGTTCCATTGCAGATCTGACACTCTCCAAATACATACACCATCTCTTTCAATAGAGCATGGCGGGTGAACAGCACTGCCGTCTGTAGGAACATTCGAAAGTCTCTTATATAGCAATCTTTCTGCTCATGTTGTTCCAAAGTTGTAAATGAAAGATATAGCATCTGTTATAGAACTCCAATATGCTGATGACAACGTTGTCTGTGCGCATTCAGAAGAAGGCCTGCAAGCCACTCTAAACACCTTTGCAGAAGCATACGAGAAGCTCGGTCTGTCATTAAACATTGACAGATGGCAAGCTATTTACTTCAGCAGACGGAACACCAAAACCAAGGTCACAACATCTGTTATAGAACTCCAGTATGCTGATGACAACGTCATCTGTGCACATTCAGAAGAAGACCTACAAGCCACTCTAAACACCTTCGCAGAAGCATACAAGAAGCTCGGCCTGTCATTGAACATCAAGAAAACCAAAGTCCTCTTCCAGCAATCCCTCTCCAATGCCAAAGATGATGATAATAATAATAATAATAATAATAATAATAATAATAATAATAATCTTTATTTATACCCTGCCACCATCTCCCCAACGGGGACTTGGAGTGGCTTACATGGGGCCAAGCCTGAACAACAAACTACAATATAAAAATACATGTACAAATACAAATACATGTATAAAAATACATGGTGTAACATTAGAAAATGTTGACCACTTCCGCTCCCTTGGCAGCCACCTCTCCACAAAAATCAACATTTTTGTTTCCTTCTGCTTCAGGATAAGCTTTGTTTAAATTTAACTGCTTTCAGCGCTGCTTTGTTTGAGAGGCGGGGCTTCCTGAGTTTAAAAATTAACTGCTTTGTTTGAGAGGCGGGGCTTCCTGGTTATCCTATATAAACCAGTGTCTGAACCCAAGGGGCAGCTGGGCTTTCCACAGAAGTTGAGGAAGCAGGAACTCGTACACTCAGTAACCTATACTTCACCCCTGCATACAGACAACATCAAACACACACCAAGAGGAGGTCATTAGCAACCTCCAAATGGAACAAACACGAAAACTTCCCGTCTCATGCACAAGCTGTGGCTTGTTCACCTTTTTCACACTACAATTACTCAATTACATCTGCCCCAAGTGTAAACAGATCACTCGCATGGAACACAGGATCCGACAACTCGAGGACCGTATTAAGACCCTTAAGGACATTCAGGAACTTGAGCTGTTCTTAGACACCACACACCACACTGTCCTAGCCTTAATGATGTCATGAGCGAAACCGTGAAGGGCCACCCAAGACGGGACGGTTGTGGCAGAGAGGTCAGACCAAGCGTGATCCCTGGGGAAGGCAATGGCAAACCACTCCAGTATCCTTGCCAAGAAAACTAAATGGACCAGTACAACCAGAGATATGTCGGTATGCCATTGGAAGATGGGACTCCCAGGTCGGAAGATGGCCAAAATGCTACTGGGGAGGAGCACAGGATAAGTTCAACTAGCCCCAGATGTGATGACGCAGCTAGCTCAAAGCCGAAAGGAAGGCTAGCGGCCGACGGTACTGGAGGTGAACGACGAATCCGATGCTCTAAAGATCAACACACCATAGGAACTTGGAATGTAAGATCTATGAGCCAGGGCAAATTGGATGTTGTTATTGGTGAGATGTCAAGACTAAAGATAGACATTCTGGGGGTCAGCGAACTGAAATGGACTGGAATGGGCCACTTCACCTCAGATGAGCCACCAGATCTACTACTGCGGACAAGAGGAACATCGAAGAAATGGAGTAGCCTTCATAATTAATAAGAAATCGCTAAAGCGGTGCTTGGATACAACCCAAAAAATGACAGAATGATCTCAATTCGAGTGCAAGGAAAGCCTTTCAACATTACAGTGATAAAAATATATGCCCCAACCACAGCTGCTGAAGAAGCAGAAGTAGATCAGTTCTATGAGGATCTGCAGGACCTACTGGATAATACACCAAAAAGAGACATTATTTTTATTACAGGAGACTGGAATGCCAAGGTGGGAAGTCAAATGACAACTGGGATCACAGGCAAGCATGGTCTGGGAGAACAAAATGAAGCGGGACGCAGGCTGATAGAATTTTGCCAGGAAAACTCACTGTGTATAACGAATACTCTCTTCCAACAACCTAAAAGACGGCTTTACACATGGACCTCACCAGATGGTCAACACCGAAATCAGATTGACTACATCCTTTGCAGCCAAAGGTGGCGGACATCCATCCAGTCGGTGAAAACAAGACCTGGGGCTGACTGTAGCTCAGATCACGAACTTCTTATTGCCAATTTAGAATAAAACTAAAGAGATCAGGGAAAATACACAGACAGTTAGATATGATCTCACTAACATTCCTAGCGAATATACAGTGGAAGTGAAGAACAGATTTGAAGGACTAGATTTAGTAAACAGAGTCCCAGAAGAACTATGGACAGAAGTCCGAGACATTGTTCAGGAGGCGGCAACAAAGTACGTCCCAAAGAAAAAGAAAACCAAGAAGGCAAAATGGTTGTCTGCTGAGACACTGGAAGTAGCCCAAGACAGGAGGAAAGCAAAAGGAAACAGGGATAAGGGAGATATGCCCAGTTAAATGCGCAATTCCAGAGGTTAGCCAGAAGAGATAAGGAACTATTTTTAAATAAGCAATGCATGGAAGTGGAAGAAGACAACAGAATAGGAAGGAAAAGAGACCTCTTCCAGAAAATTAGAAACATTGGAGGTAAATTTCAGGCAAAAATTGGTATGATAAGAAACAAAGATGGCAGGGACCTAACAGAAGCTGAAGAGATCAAGAGAAGGTGGCGAGACTATACAGAAGATCTGTATAGGAAGCGATAATAATATTGAGGATAGTTTTGACGGTGTGGTGAATGAATTAGAACCAGACATCCTGAGGAGTGAGGTTGAATGGGCCTTAAGAAGCATTGCTAACAACAAGGCAGCAGGAGACGACGGGATCCCAGCTGAACTGCTTAAAATCTTAAAAGATGATGCTGTCAAGGTGATGCATGCCATTTGCCAGCAAATATGGAAAACACAAGAATGGCCATCAGACTGGAAAAAATCAACTTATATCCCCATACCAAAAAAGGGAATTGCGAAAGACTGCTCAAACTTCCGTACAGTGGCCCTTATTTCTCATGCCAGTAAGGTAATGCTCAAGATCCGCAAGGAAGACTCCAGCAATACATGGAGCGAGAGTTGCCAGATGTTCAAGCTGGGTTTAGAAAAGGTAGAGGAACGAGAGACCAAATTGCCAATATCCGCTGGATAATGGAGAAAGGCAGGGAGTTTCAGAGAAACATCTACTTCTGCTTCATTGACTATTCTAAAGCCTTTGACTGTGTGGATCATAATAAATTGTGGCAAGTTCTTAGTGGGATGGGCATCCCAAGCCCCCTTCCCTCTCTCCTGAGGAATCTGTACAAGGACCAAGGAGCAACAGTCAGAACTGACCACAAAACAACAGACTGGTTCAAGATTGGGAAAGGCGTACGGCAAGGCTGCATCCTCTCACCCAACCTTTTTAACTTGTATGCAGAACACATCATGCGATGTGCGGGGCTGGATGAATGCAAAGCTGGGGTGAAAATTGCTGGAAGAAACATTAACAACCTCAGATATGCAGATGACACCACTCTGATGGCCGAAAGCGAGGAGGAGCTGAGGACCCTTCTAATCAAGGTGAAAGAAGAAAGCGCAAAAGCCGGGTTGCAGCTAAACATAAAAAAAACCAAGATTATGGCAACAAGAATGATTGACAACTGGAAAATAGAGGGAGAAAATGTGGAGACCGTGACAGACTTTGTATTTCTAGGTGCAAAGATTGACTGCAGATGCAGACTGTCAGCCAGGAAATCAGGAGAAATTACTTCTTGGGAGGAGAGCAATGTCCAGTCTCAATAAAATAGGGAAGAGTAGAGACATCACTGGCAATGAAGATCCCGCATAGTTAAAGCCATGGTATTCCCTGTAGTCACCTACGGATGTGAGAGCTGGACCTTAGGGAAGGCTGAGCGAAGGAAGATAGATGCTTTTGAGCTGTGGTGTTGGAGGAAAGTTCTGAGAGAGCCTTGGACTGCGAGAAGATCCAACCAGTCCATACAGGAAATAAAGCCCGACTGCTCATTGGAGGGAAGGATATTAGAGGCAAAGATGAAGTACTTTGGCCACATTCTGAGGAGACAGGAAAGCTTGGAGAAGACAATGATGCTGGAGGAAATGGAAGGAAAAAGAAAGAGAGGCTGACCAAGGGCAAGATGAAAGGGTAGTATCCTTGAAGTGACTGGACTGACCTTGAAAGAGCTGGGGGTGGTGACGGCCGACAGGGAGCTCTGGCATGGCCTGTCCATGAGGTCACGAAGAGTCGGAGATGACTGAATGAATGAACAACAACAAATATGTAGCAGCATCGAATTGCTGCCAAAATGTAAGCCGTCCTGACGTTGGTGTGGCCCACATGGGTGTTCTGTGTGGGAGGTTTGGCCCAATTCCATCATTGGTGGGGTTCAGATGCTCTTTGATTGTAGGTGAACTATAAATCCCAGCAACTACAACTCCCAAATGTCAAGATTCTATTTTCCCCAAACTCCACCAGTGTTCACATTTGGGCATATTGAGTATTCATGTAGAGTTTGGTCCAGATCCATCATTGTTTGTGTCCACAGTGATCTCTGGATGTAGGTGAACTACAACTCCAAAACCAAAGGACACTGCTCACCAAACCCTTCCAGTATTTTCTGTTGGTCATGGGAGAACTGTGTTTGGTTCAGTTCCATCCTTGGTGGAGTTCAGAATGTTCTTTGATTGTAGGTGAACTATAAATCCCAGCAACTACAACTCCCAAATGAGTGAAGGACATACATTGGGTTGTTAGGTGTCTTGTCTCCTAACTTGGTGTCAATTCGTCCAGTGGTTTTTGAGTTCTGTTAATCCCACAAACAAACATTCCATTTTATTTATATAGATTATATTATATTATAATTATATTTATTATTATATTATATTATTATATTATTAGTATAGCACAGGAGACAAGGTGGAACTATCTTTTGGCCCCCTCTCTCTTCACTCTGGCCCAGAGTTGGTGCTGGGAGGAGGGGTCCATGACACGCCTTCTCCTCACAAGGGATGACCACCTCACCCACTTCATAGGAAATCTGCTACAAAACAGGAGCTTTTTTGTTGAGTTCCAGGGTCAGAGAAAGATATGGCGAAAACAGAGGAACGGCCTGCCTCACGGGAGCGTGCTTACTCCATCAACGTGTAACCTTCAAACAAATGACCAGCCACTGCCAGAAGCGACAGAGAGAGAGTTTCATCTATGCTGACGATCGTGCCATCACCACCCAAGCAGGGAGCTTTGAAATGGTTGAACAGAAGCTCTCTGAAGCTTTACATTCAAACAAATGATCAGCCACTGCCAGAAAGTACAGAGAGTTTCATCTATGCTGACGATCATGCCATCACCGCCCAATCAGAGAGCTTTGAAATGGTTGAACAGAAGCTCTCCGAAGATTTAGGTGCTCTTACTGCCTATTGTGGGCAAAGCCAGGAGGGACACAGAGTTTCATCTATGCTGACGATCATGCCATCACCGCCAAGTCAGGGAGCTTTGAAATGGTTGAAAAGAAGCTCTCTGAAGTTTTACATTCAAACAAATGATCAGCCACTGCCAGAAGGGACAGAGAGTTTCATCTATGCTGACGATCGTGCCATCACCGCCCAATCAGGGAGCTTTGAAATGGTTGAACAGAAGCTCTCTGAAGTTTTACATTCAAACAAATGATCAGCCACTGCCAGAAGGGACAGAGAGTTTCATATATGCTGACGATCGTGCCATCACCAGCCAAGCAGGAAGCTTTGAAATGGTTGAACAGAAGCTCTCTGAAGCTTTACATTCAAATGATCAGCCACTGCCAGAAGGGACAGAGAGTTTCATCTATGCTGACGATCGTGCCATCACCGCCCAAACAGGAAGCTTTAGTTGCTCTTACTGCCTATTACGGGGAAAGCCTGCTTATTCCTAATCCACCTAAAACACAGATGTGTGCTTTTCATCTTAAGAACAGACAAGCATCTTGAGCTCTGAGGATGACCTGGAAGGAATCCCACTGGAGCATTGCAGCACACCCAAATACCTGGGAGTCACTCTTAACTGTGCTCTGACTGATCAGAAGCACTGCTTGAATATCAAGCAAAAAGTGGGTGCTAGAAACAATATAGTACTAAAGCTGATTGGCACAACCTGGGAATCACAACCAGACACAGTGAAGGCATCTGCTCTTGTGCTTTGCGACACTGCTGCTGAAGCATGCCCAGAGTGTAATATTTATTATTTATTTATTTGCGACATTTATATGCCGCCCTTCTCACCCCAAAGGGGGCTCAGAGCAGCTTACAAGTTATATGTAAATACAATATATTATATTATTAGCATAGCACAATATTAGTAACATACATTCCCATATTGTACTATACCAGTATACTGTAATATTATTATTAATATTACATGTAATATGAAATATATAATAATTATCTTGTATTATTATTAGTATTATATTGTATCACATTACAACATTATCAATATTATATGTGTATACAATATATTATATTATTAGCACAATCCAACATTAGTATTCTGTATTACTATATTGTACTATACCACTATACTGGAATATACTGTACTGTATATTGTACATAGTATATATACAATAATATATATTGCGGTGGCGCAGTGGGTTAAACTGCTGAGCTGCTAAACTTGTTGACTGAAAGGTCACAGGTTCGAATCTGGGGAGTGGGGTGAGCTCCCGCTGTTAACCCCAGCTTCTGCCAACCTAGCAGTTAGAAAACATGCAAAGGTGAGTAGATCAATAGATACCACTTTGGTGGGAAGGTAAGGGCCCTCCATGCAGTCATGCAGGCCACATGACCTTGGAGGTGTCTATGGACGACGCCGACTCTATGGCGTAGAAATGGAGATGAGCACCAGCCCCCCAGAGTCGGACACGACTGGACTTCATGTCAGGGGAAAACCGTTACCGTTACCTTTACCACTATACTGTAATATACTGGAATACATCTCACCACGTTAAAACAGTGGATGTGGCTCTTAATGAGACATGCCTCATTATCACAGGATGTCTAGGCCCCGCACCACTGGAGAAATTATACTGTTTAGCCAGTATTGCACCATCTGACATCCGTCGGGAAGTAGCAGCCAATAACGAAAACACCAAAGCGGTGACATCTCTGGCCCATCCTCTGTTCAGATATCAGCCAGCATGCCAATGCCTTAAATCAAGAAATAGTTTTCTAAGATCTACAGAGATACTTGCAGGAACACCTCAGCAAGCAAGAGTCCAAAAGTGGCAGGCGAAAACCCAGAACCTCATTCAGTGGCTGAGAGCGGATGAGAGATTCCCTCCTGGGCACAGGGAAGACTGGCCAACTCTCCATGGTATTATATAACACTCCTCCGTAACTATATTTCAAATGAATTGATTTTCCTTCCTATCATCGTTATTTCCTGTCCAGTTTTCTCAAGATAGACATAAAAATGGGAAATGCTGACTTTGGAACAGGGTTTCCCCACTTATATGATTCGATGAGTTTGTTTAGATGCAAAAATATTGTCACAAAGTTCAACCAAAGCGGAACACCGATTTCTTTAGCTTGCAAATGCAAGGCTGAACACAAGATGGCACTGGCGGAGAGACAAAGAAGCTGTATTATATACAACTTCCTCCTCTTGTGGTGACCCACAACCATAACATTATTTTCATTGCTACCTCATAACTATAGTTTTGCTTCTGTTACAAATCATATTGTAAATATGCTGGATGTATTTTCATTCTCTGGACCAAATTTGAATAGTGATTTTGTTATTTGGGAGTTGTAGTTGCTGGGATTTATAGTTCGCCTACAATCAAAGAGCATTCTGAACTCCACCAAGGATGGAATTGAACCAATCTTGGCACACAGAACTCCCTTCACCAGCAGAAAATACTGGAAAGGTTTGCTGGGCATTGACCTTGAGTTTGGGAGTTGTAGTTCACCTACACCCAGAGAGTACTGTGGACTCAAACAATAATAGATTTGGACCAAACTTTAGCACAAATACTCAAAATGCTGAAATGTGAATACTGGTGGAGATTGGGGAAAATAGACCTTAACGTTTGGGAGTTGTCGTTGCTGGGATTTATAGTTCACCTACAATCAAAGAGCATTCTGAACTCCATCAACTATGGAATTGAATTAATCTTGGCACACAGAACTCCCTTGACAGACAGAAAATACTGGAAAGGTTTGGTGGGCATTGACTTTGAGTTTGGGAGTTGTAGTTCACCTACATGCAGAGAGCACTGTGGACTCAAACCATGATGGATCTGGACCAAACTTGGCACGGATACCCAATATACGCAATTGTGAATACTGGTGGACTTTGAGGAAAATAAACCTTGACATTTGGGAGTTGTAGTTGCTGGGATTTATAGTTCACCCACAATCAAAGAGCATTCTAAACTCCATCAACTATGGAAATGAATTAATCTTGGCACACAGAACTCCCATGACAGACAGAAAATACTGGAAAGGTTTGGTGTGCATTGACTTCGAGTTTGGGAGTTGTAGTTCTCCTACATCCAGAGAGCACTGTGGACTCAAACAATGATGGATCTGGACCAAACTTGGCACGGATACTCGATATACCCAATTGTGAATACTGGTGGAGTTTGGGGGAAATAAACCTTGACATTTGGGAGTTGTATTGCTAGGATTTATAGTTCACCCACAACCAAGAGCATTCTGAACCCCACCAGTGACAAAATGGGCCAAACGTCCCACACAGAAAGCCCATAACCAACAGAAAGTACTGAATGTATTTGGTGGGCATTGACCAGTGGGCCAAACTTGCCTATTGACTTTGGCCTCCTCTTATAGATGGGTTGTATTTCCTGGAAACAGAAGAAGGTGAGATCTACCAAACCTTCTGCGACATGACCACCCACGGAGGTGGCTGGACCCTGGTGGCCAGCATCCACGAGAACAACATCTATGGGAAATGCACCCTGGGCGACCGCTGGACCAGCCAACAGGGCAACAACGCCAATTACCCCAAAGGGGAAGGGAACTGGGACAAGAACACCACGTTCGGGACTGCGGTGGCTTCGACCAGCGACGACTACAAGGTGGGAAGACAGGAGAATTTTTTCTTGATAATAGTTTTGTATTACTATATTTTAATATAACATAGTAAGGTTTTTGAGTTATATTAATTCCGCAAACGAACATTACATTTTTATTTGCAAGGGTTGAATGAAAAGTAATGCCTCCACCTTTGTAACTCCTCAACAGATTGCAGTACTGGTATGCGGCAGGTACTGGTTTGTTCAGTAGACTCTCCTCTACAGTTCCATTTTGGCAGGAAGCCTTAGCATTGAACGGTTGTGTTGTTAAAGTGAAAAGTAATGCCTCCACCTTCGTAACTCCTCAACAGATGGCAGTACTGCTATGCGGCAGGTACTGGCTTCTTCAGTAGACTCTCCTCTACAGTTCCATTTTGGCTGGAAGCCTTAGAACATTGAAATGTTGTGTTGTTAAAGTGAAAAGTAATGCCTCCACCTTCGTAATTTCTCAACCGATGGCAGTACTGGTATGCGGCAGGTACTGGCTTCTTCAGTAGACTCTCCTCTACAGTTCCATTTTGGCTGGAAGCCTTAAAACATTGAAATGTTGTGTTGTTAAAGGGAAAAGTAATGCCTCCACCTTCGTAATTTCTCAACCGATGGCAGTACTGGCATGCAGCAGGTACTGGCTTGTTCAGTAGACTCTCCTCTACAGTTCCATTTTGGCGGGAAGCCTTAGCATGGAATGGTTGTGTTGTTAAAGTGAAAAGTAATGCCTCCACCTTCATAACTCCTCAACAGGTGGCAGTTAGAGTATGTGGCAGGTACTGGTTTGTTCAGTAGACTCTCCTCTACATTCCATTTTGGCAGGAAGCCTTAGCACTGAACGGTTGTGTTGTTAGATTCCAATGGCCTATATCTGATGGGACAAGGCCTTCCTCTGGTGCCAAAAGAACTGGTTTGAAGGTGCTTGAGACTTCCCAACGTCGTTCAGGTTGATCTGAACATGAAGCATAAATCTCAAGGGTAAAAACCTCAGAATTGGTGCTGTGAGGTAACTTAATCAGGGGCTTTTAGAGCCAAGTCTCTTACTCACGTCCATCTTGTAGAAAATCCGATGGTGGAATGAAAAAGGGAAGCACTCCCCTCTTCCAGGAAAAGGTGGAGCCAAACAATTGAGCTGAGAAAGCAATTCAACTGGTGCAAACAACATTGATTGACAGCTATAAATAACCAATCAATCCAACTATACATAGGTAGGGTAAAAAGGCAGGATTAAGCATGATACAACAGTTTAAACCTTGCAACTAACAGTTCTACACATAGGTGGCACCACTCGTGCCGTCACAGTAGCTAAAGAGCACATACTAAGGATTATTTCTGCGCTTGATTTATTAAAATATTCCCTTCCAAACCCAAGTAACGAAGGGGGAGGCGTTACTTTTCATTCAATCCTCTCCCTAGATTTTTTTTTTTTTACGACTGACTCATATCTTCTTAAGCTATAGCCAACAATCTCGTCAGGGGAGAAGTCTCCTTCAATGTCTTTTGTGTTCCAGAACCCTGGCTACTACGACCTTGAGGCAAGGGACATGGCCATATGGCACGTCCCCAACAACAGCCCCATGCGGGAATGGCGGGGGTCCGCTATCTTGAGGTACCACACCGAGACGGGCTTCTTGGCCACGGAAGGAGGCAACCTTCTCCGGCTCTACCAGGTACATCTCCTGCAGTTTTGTTAAAAAATCTCACATTTCATGATTGATGCTAAACATGCGAATAGCCAGAGTTACATCCAAGAAAGCCAAGGTTTAATAATAATAATAATAATAATAATAATAATAATAACTTCACTAGTTATGTCTGACTCTGGTGTCTGCTGTGGACTCATCTTGTTGTGTTCCAAATAATAATAATAATAATAATAATAATAATAATAATAATTATTATTATTATTATTATTATTATTATTATTATTATTATTATTATTGGCACACTGGGTGCAGTGCCTCAAGACTTTGGCCTGCACTTAAAAACAATAGCTGCTGACAAAATCTGTCAGCTGCTAAAGGCCACCCTACTCGGATCTGTACGCATTATTCACCAAGATATTACACAGTCCTAGACACTTGGGAAGTGTCCAATGTGTGAGCCAATACAACAACCAGCAGAGTGTCTGCTGTGGCCTCATCTTGTTGTGTTTCAAATAAATAAATAAATAATAATAATAATAATAATAATGATGATGATGATCGGCACACTGGGTGCAGTGCCTCAAGACCTTGGCCTGCACTTAAAAACAATCGCCGCTGACAAAATCACCATCTGTCAGCTGCAAAAGGCTACCCTACTCAGATCTGTACGCATTATTTACCGAGACATTACACAGTCCTAGACACTTGGGAAGTGTCCGACATGTGACTGAATACAAAAGCCAGCATAGTGATCTTGTTTGCTGTGTACGAATCTTGTGTATCTAATAATAATAATAATAATAATAATAATAATAATGGTGATCAGCACACTGGATGCAGCGCCTAAAGACCTTGGCCTGCACTTAAAAACAATTGGTGCTGTGTATCTAATAACAATAATAATAATAATAATAATAATAATAATAATAATAATAATGGTGACCAGCACACTGGGTGCAGCGCCTAGAGACCTTGGCCTGCACTTAAAAACAATTGGTGCTTTCTGTGTCAATAATAATAATAATAATAATAATAATAATAATAATAATAATAATGGTGATCAGCACACTGGATGCAACACCTAAAGACCTTGGCCTGCACTTAAAAACAATTGGTGCTTTCTGTGTTAATAATAATAATAATAATAATAATAATAATAATAATAATGGTGATCAGCACACTGGATGCAGCGCCTAAAGACCATGGCCTGCACTTAAAAACAATTGGTGCTATGCTGTGTATCTAATAATAATAATAATAATAATAATAATAATAATAATAATAATAATAATAATGGTGATCAGCACACTGGATGCAGCGCCTAAAGACCTTGGCCTGCACTTAAAAACAATTGGTGCTGTGTATCATAATAATAATAATAATAATAATAATAATAATAATAATAATGGTGACCAGCACACTGGGTGCAGCGTCTAAAGACCTTGGCCTGCACTTAAAAACAATCGGTGCTGTGTATCTAATAATAATAATAATAATAATAATAATAATAATAATAATAATAATAATGGTGATCAGCACACTGGATGCAGCACCTAAAGACCATGGCCTGCACTTAAAAACAATTGGTGCTGTGTATCTAATAATAATAATAATAATTATAATTATTATTATTATTATTATTATTATTATTAATAATAATAATAATAATAACAATAATGGTGATCAGCATACTGGATGCAGCGCCTGGAGACCTTGGCCTGCACTTAAAAACAATCGGTGCTTTCCATGTTAATAACAATAATAATAATAATAATAATAATAATAATAATAATAATAATAATGGTGATCAGCACACTGGATACAGTGCCTAAAGACCTTGGCCTGCACTTAAAAACAATTGGTGCTTTCCGTGTTAATAATAATAACAATAATAATAAGAATGGTGATCAGCACACTGGATGCAGCGCCTAAAAACTTAAAAACAACCGGTGCTTTCCGTGTTAATAATAATAACAATAATAATAATAATAGTGATCAGCACACTGGATGCAGCCCCTAAAGACTTAAAAACAACCGGTGCTTTCTGTGTTAATAATAATAATAATAATAATAATAATAATAATAATAATAATGGTGATCAGCACACTGGATGCAGCGCCTAAAGACCTTGGCCTGCACTTAAAAACAATTAGTGCTGTGCTGTGTATCTAATGATGATGATGATGATGATGATGCGCCACTCCAAGATACCCTGCTTTTATTAAGAAGGCCTGTTGCGGTCTTGCAAGCCTTTGTTCGCCTGCTATTTACAGCTTGCCTGCTTCTCTTTCTGCAAACAATTTCTGCAATTTGCATTTTCTCTCCCAGCAATACCCAGTGACGTACGGCATCGGCAGCTGCCCGGCAAACAATGGCCCAGTTGTGCCTGTCGTCTATGACACTGGAAACGAGAAGCAGACCGCCTTCTACTACTCTCCAAATTCGAGAAGTAAGTCGTTTTCTGTATCCGAGACGTCTGTTTGCCGTAGTACATGCTTTTCCTTGCTGCGCATCTTGCGTTTTCTTTAGCACACCGTTTTTAGAAAGGAGATTTCGTACACATATATCGATACATCTTGTCTCCCCAGATGAGTTTGTTGCTGGATATATACAGTTCCGGGTGTTTAATAATGAGAAGGCCGCCATGGCTCTTTGCGCAGGAATCAAAGCCACCGGTTGCAATACGGAGACGGTGAGTAGCGTATGATCCCATCCACACTGTCATATACTCCTGTTTGAGTCTGCATTGTATCCTCAGTGTAGACTCACATACCACAGTTTAACAATACTACACTGTTGGGGGATGCTGTTCGTGCAGTGTCGAAGGCTTTACTCGCCAGAATCACCGGGTTGCTGTGAGTTTCCCCGGCTGTCTGGCCATTTTCCAGAAGCATTCTCTCCTGACGTTTTGCCCACATCTATGGCAGGCATCCTCAGAGGTTATGACAGTGTTTCTCAACTTTCCTAATGCCGCGACCCCTTAATACAGTTCCTCATGTTGTGGTGACCCCCAACCGTACCATTATTTTATTATCGATCTAGAGTTTGGGAGTTGTAGTTCACCTACATCCAGAGAGCACTGTGGACTCAAAAAATGATGGATCTGGACCAAAATTGGCACAGGTACTCAATACGTTCAAATGTGAAAACTGGTGGAGTTTGGGGAAAATAGACCTGGGCATTTGGGAGTTGTAGTTGCTGGGAGTTATAGTTCACCTACAATCAAAGAGCATTCTGAATCTCTTGGAGTTGTAGTTCACCTACATCCAAAAAGCACTGTAGACTCAAACAGTGATGGATCTGGACCAAACTCAGCACAGATATTCAATATGTCCAAGTGTGAATACTGGTGGAGTTTGGGGAAAATAGGCCTGGACGTTTGGGAGTTGTAGTTGCTGGGAGTTATAGTTCACCTACAATCAAAGAGCATTCTGAATCTCTGGGAGTTGTAGTTCATCTATATCCAAAGAGCACTGTAGACTCAAACAGTGATGGATCTGGACCAAACCCGGCACAGATACTCAATATGTCCAAGTGTGAATACTGGTGGAGTATTCACACTTGACCAACAGAATATACTGGAAGGGTTTGGTGGACATTGATCTAGAGTTCGGGAGTCATAGTTCACCTACATCCAGAGAGCACTGTGGACTCAAACAATGATGGATCTGCACCAAATTTGGCACAAATACTCAATATGCCCAAATGTGAACACTGGTGGAGTTCAGGAAAAGTAGACCTTGACATTTGGGAGTTGTAGTTGCTGGGAGTTATAGTTCGCCTATAATCAAAGAACATTTTGAACACCACCAGTGATGGAATTGGATCCAATTGGGCACACAGAACTCCCATGCTAACAGAAAACACTGGAAGGGTTGGGTGGGCATTGACCTTGAGTTTGGGAGTTGTAGTTCACCTACATCCAGAGAGCGATGTGGACTCAAAAAACGATGGATCTGGATCAAAATTGGCACGGGTACTCAATAAGTCCAAATGTGAAAACTGGTGGAGTTTGGGGAAAATAGACCTGGACATTTGGGAATTGTAGTTGCTGGGAGTTATAGTTCACCTACAATCAAAGAGCATTCTGAATCTCTGGGAGTTGTAGTTCACCTACATCCAAAGAGCACTGTAGACTCAAACAGTGATGGATCTGGACCAAACCCGGCACAGATACTCAATATGTCCAAGTGTGAATACTGGTGGAGTATTCACACTTGACCAACAGAATATACTGGAAGGGTTTGGTGGACATTGATCTAGAGTTCGGGAGTCATAGTTCACCTACATCCAGAGAGCACTGTGGACTCAAACAATGATGGATCTGCACCAAATTTGGCACAAATACTCAATATGCCCAAATGTGAACACTGGTGGAGTTCAGGAAAAGTAGACCTTGACATTTGGGAGTTGTAGTTGCTGGGAGTTATAGTTCGCCTATAATCAAAGAACATTTTGAACACCACCAGTGATGGAATTGGATCCAATTGGGCACACAGAACTCCCATGCTAACAGAAAACACTGGAAGGGTTGGGTGGGCATTGACCTTGAGTTTGGGAGTTGTAGTTCACCTACATTCAGAGAGCACTGTGGACTCAAACAATGATGGATCTGGACCAAAATTGGCACAGGTACTCAATATGTCCAAATGTGAAAACTGGTGGAGTTTGTGGAAAATAGACCTGGACATTTGGGAGTTGTAGTTGCTGGGATTTATAGTTCAGCTATAATCAAAGAGCATTTTGAACACCACCAGTGATGGAGTTGAATCAAATTGGGCACACAGAACTCCCATGCCAACAGAAAACACTGGAAGGGTTTGGTGGGCATTGACCTTGGTTTGCGAGTTGTAGTTCACCTATATCCAGAGAGCACTCTGGACTCAAACAATGATGGATCTGGACCAAACTTGGCACAAATACTCAATATGCCCAAATGTGAACATTGGTGGAATTTGGAGAAAAGAGACCTTAGCATTTGGGAGTTGTAGTTTCTCTCACTCCAGAAGCGACTACTAAAATAATGTATAAATATTAAAATAAATATAGTGTATAAATATTAAGATATAAATATTAAAAATTAATATAGTGTCCTCAGTGGCACAGCGGGTTAAAACGCTGAGCTGCTGAACTTACTGACCGAAAGATTGCAGGTTTGAATCCGGGGAGTGGCATGAGCTCCCGCTGTTAGCCCCAGCTTCTGCCAACCTAGCAGTTCAAAAACATGCAAATGGGAGTAGCGCTCTATGCAGTCATGCAGGCCACTTGGAGGTGTCCACGGACAATGCCGGCTCTTTGGCTTAGAAATGGAGATGAGCACCAACCTCCAGAGTCGGACACGACTGGACTTGCTGTGTTTCAGTCCGCTATGATGCAAATTTCCAATTTCTCCTCTTTTTCCAGTTTTGTGTCGGTGGCGGAGGATATTTCCCCGAATCCAGTCCGCGGCAGTGCGGGGACTATACCGCTTTCGAATGGGACGGCTACGGTTCCCATTCAGGCTGGAGCGTCTCCAAAGAGTTGCTGGAGTCTGCGATGCTCATCTTCTACCGATGAGTCTCTCATGGAAGGTGGAGACCCTTCGAAACAAAGGCTTGCTCTGAGTTGTAAAAGGAATGCAGCTTGGCCCCCTGGCTCAATGCTTTGGAGTCTTGGGAGTTGTAGTTTGGAAAGGCACCTGCACTCTTGGGCAGAAAAGAACTCAGGAAACGACAACTCCCAGATCCTCAAAGAACTTTGAAAACTACAACTCCCAGGTTCCCAAAAGACCCTGGGAAACTACAGCTCCCGGGAATCCATAGCCTTGAGCCATGGCCAATCCAAGTAGGGTCAAACTGTATTCATTTCCCTTCCTGTCTGGTTTCTTCGTCTATATAAATAAAAATGTAATGTTCGTTTGTGGAATTAACAGAACTCAAAAACCACTGGACGAATTGACACCAAATTTGGACACTCTACCCCTATCAGGCCAACGAGTGACCACCACCCCTAAAAACACGCAAAAAGACAGCAGAACACGGACTTTTAAAAAAAACCAAAATATACCATATGTACATGTACACATACATTCATATACATATACACATGCACACATACATACAGACACACACACACATATATACGCAAGCACACATAAATATACACATATACACACACACATACATATACACATACACACATATAAACACACATATATTCATATACACAAGCACACACATATACACAATATACATATACACATGCACACATACACACACATATATACGCAAGCACACACAAATATACACATATACACACCTACACACATACATATACACATACATACACACATATATTCATATACACAAGCACACACATATACACAATATACATATACACATACAATCACAGAAATATACATATACACATGCACACATATACACACATATATATGCAGGCACACACAAATATACACACATACACACACATAGATGTACACCTACACGCATATACATATACACATGCATATACACATGTATACACACAGATATACACAGATATATGCATATACCCAAGCACACATATAGACACAATATACATATATACATATAAACACAAATACACAAATATATTCACACGGATACACACATAAATAAACACACACACACATATACACACAAACACACATATATACACATATACTCAAATATATACACAGACATAAAAGCATATATACACACACATACACAGACTGGGCCACAGCAACGTGTGGCAGGGGACAGCTAGTCTATATAAATAAAAATGTAATGTTCGTTTGTGGGATTAACAGAACTCCAAAACCGCTGGACTAATTGACGCCAAATTTGGACACAAGACATCTAACAACCCAATGTATGTCCTTCACTCAAAAAACCTGATTTTTTTCATTTGGGAATTGTAGTTTCTGGGATTTATAGTTCACCTACAATCAAAGATCTTTCTGAACCCCACCAACGATGGAATTGAACCAAACTTGGCACACAGTTTTCCCACGACCAACAGAAAATACTGCAAGGGTTTCGTGGGCAGTGTCCTTTGTTCTGGGAGTTGTAGTTCACCTACATTCAGAGGTGAACACAAACAATGATGGATCTGGACCACACTCTACACCAATACTCAATATGCCCAAATGTGAACACTGGTGGAGTCTGGGGAAAATAGACCTTGACATTTGGAATTTGTAGTTGCTGGGATTCATAGTTCACCTACAATCAAAGATCATTCTGAACCCCACCAATGATGGAATAGAACCAATCTTGGCACATAGAGCTCCCATGACCAATAGAAAATACTGGAAGGATTTGGCAGGCACTGGCCTTGAGTTTGGGAGTTGTAGTTCACCTACATCCAGAGAGCACTGTGGACTCAAACAATGATGGATCTGGACCAAACTCTACACGAAAAGGAAGCTGTGCTGGGATTTCCAGACAGACAAACTACTTTTGCTTCCTTTCCTTTTTGGGGTGACTTTGAAGAGTCCATTGGTTCACTTTTCTAATGAGAAGCGTGACTGAATGTATTCAACGGAAATTGTGGTCAAGTGTGAGCTCTGTGAAGACACCCACCAGAACTCTCAAGATGACTCTTTCCCAACAGAACGCTCAAGGAAGAGGCTCTGCTGTGGCTGAATAGCATAGCATCCAGGACTAATTTCTCAGGGCAAGCTAAGGTGAGAGTCCTCATGCATTTTGGTGTACGTGCCTTCTAGTCACTGTCTAAGCTGGAAGCCAAAACCAAAGTCACAACAACATCTGTTACAGAATTCCAATTGCCGATGATAACATAGTCTGTGCACCTCTCCACCAAAGTCAACATTGACTCCGAAATACAACACCGTCTGAGCTCTGTGAGTGCAGCATTTTTCTGAATGAAGCAGAGAGTGTTTGAGGACCGGAACATCCATAGGAATATCAAGGTACTTGTTTATAAAGCTATTGTCCTCCCAACCCTGCCATACACATGCAAAACATGGACTGTCTACAGACGTCAACATTGACACTGAAATCCAACACTGCCTGAGCTCTGCAAGTGCAGCATTTTTCTGAATGAAGCACAGAGTGTTTGAGGACCAGAACATCCATAGGGATACCAGGGCACTTGTTTATAAAGCAATTCTCCTCCCAACCCTGCTATACGCCTGTGAAACATGGACTGTCTATAGACGTCAACATTGACACTGAAATACAACACTGCTTGAGCTTTGCAAGTGCAACATTCTTTCCAATGAGTTAGAGAGTGTTTGAGGACTGGGACATCCATAGGGAGACCAAGGTACTTGTTTATAAAGCCATTGTTCTCCCAACCCTGCCATACGCCTGTGAAACGTGGACTGTCTACAGACGTCAACATTGACACTGAAATACAACACCATCTGAACTCGGCGAGTGCAGCAGTCTTTCGAATGAGTTAGAGAGTGTTTGAGGATCGGGACAACCATAGAGATAGCAAGGTACTTGTTTATTAAGCCATTGTCCTCCCAAACCTGCTATACGCCTGTGAAACGTGGACTGTCTACAGATGTCATGCAGAAGCATACGAGAAGATTGACCTGTCATTGAACATCGAGAAAACCAAAGTGCTCTTCCAGCAGTCACCAGCCAATCCCTCTCCAAAGCCAGAAATACGGCTTCATCGTGTAACATTAGAAAATGTTGACCATTTCTGCTCCCTTGGCAGCCACCTCTCCACAAAAGTCAACATTGACACCAAACTACAACACCGCCTGAGCTCTACGAGTGCAGCATTTTTCCGAATGAAGCAGAGAGTGTTTGAAGACCGGGACATCTGTAGGGATACCAAGGTACTAGTTTATAAAGCCATTCTCCTGCCAACCCTGCTATACGCCTGTGAGACGTGGACTGTCTACAGATGTCAACATTGACACTGAATACAACACAGCCTGAGCTCTGCGAGTGCAGCATTCTTCCAAATGAGAGAGAGAGTGTTTGAGGACTGGGACATCTGTAGGGATACCAGGGTACTTGTTTATATAGCCATTGTCCTCCCAACCCTGCTATACGCCTGTGAGACGTGGACTGTCTACAGACGTCAACATTGACACTGAATACAACACAGCCTGAGCTCTGCGAGTGCAGCATTCTTCCAAATGAGAGAGAGAGTGTTTGAGGACTGGGACATCTGTAGGGATACCAGGGTACTTGTTTATATAGCCATTGTCCTCCCAACCCTGCTATATGCCTGCGAGACGTGGACTGTCTACGGACGTCACATGCAACTCCAGGAACTATTCCATCAGCGCTGCCTCCAAAAAATCCTGCAAATCTCTTGGGAAGACAGGCGGACAAATGTCAGTGTGCTGGAAGAAGTAAAGACCACCAGCATTGAAGTGATGGTCCTCCGCCATCAACTCCACTGGATCGGCCACGTTGTCCTGATGCCCAACCACCGACTCCCAAAGCAGTTGCTCTACTCCGAACTCAAGAACGGAAAATGTAATGTGGGTGGGCAGGAAAAGAGATTTAAAGATGGGCTTAAAGCTGTCCTTAAAAACTGTGGCATAGATACCGAGAATTGGGAAGCTCTAACTGGAAATCAGCTGTGACCAGCAGTGCTGCAGAATTCAAAGAGGCATGAATGGAGGGTAAAAGGGAGAAATGTGCCAAGGGGAAGGCGCATGACTGGGACCCCCTTCCACTTGGAAACCGATGTCTTCACTGCGGGAGAAGATACAGATCACAAATAGGGCTCCACAGCCACCTACAGACCCACTGCTAAGACATTGCACTTGGAGGACCATCATCCTCGAGCTACAAGGGATCACCTAAATAAGTAAGTAAGGTCTACCAAGACTCCTAAATCCCTTTCACATGATTCGCTGGTGCCTGCTGGAAAAGCACTATGGTTTTCTCCATGTTCAATGAAAGGCCGAGATTCTGCGAAAGTGTTTAGAGTGGCTTGTAGGTCTTCTGCTGAATGAGCACAGACAACATTGTCATCAGTATATTGGAATTCTATAACAGATGTTGTGACCTTGGTTTTGGCTTTCAGTCTGCTGAGGTTAAATAACTTTTCATCTGTCTGATAGATAATTTCTTATTCTGAATGTGCACAGACTATGTTATCATCGGCATATTGGAGTTCTATAACAGATGTTGTTGTGACCTTGGTGTTGACTTTCAGCCTCCATCCGCCTCTGCTTGATTGCTTACGTATTGAAGACTGAAGCGCAGGTCTGCTTTCCTCTGTGGCTTCTTTGAAGAGTTAGCCCACGAAGAATAGTAAGTGAGATCTCCACCAGCCGCCCTCATGAAACCGGTTGTGGTTTTGCTTTGCTGCAAGGAGACCGGGAGGCCTACATCTCCTTCTAACCTTTTGTCCGCACTTCTCCGCTACAGTTCATTGCATATTGCACACCTCTTGGGTTACAATGGTGAGCAGAACCTTTTGCAGTGAGATGGTGGAGTTTGGGGAAAATAGACCTTGACATTTGGGAGTTGTAGTTCCTGGGATTCATAATTCACCTACAATCAAAGAGCACACTGAACTCCACCAATGATGGAATTGAACCAAACTTGGCACACAGAACTCGCACGACCAACAGAAAATACTGGAAGGGTTTGGTGGGCACTGACCTTGAGTTTAGGAGTTGTAGTTCACCTACATCCAAAGAGTACTGTGAACTCAAACAATGAGGGATATGGACCAAACTTGGCACAAATACTCAATATCCCCAAATGTGTACACTGGTGTAATTTGGGGAAAATAGACCTTGACATTTAGGAGTTGTAGTTGCTGGGATTTATAGTTCACCTACAATCAAAGAGCATTCTGAACTCCACCAATGATGGAATTGAACCAAACTTGACACACAGTTCTCCCATGACCACCAGAAAATACTGGAAAATACTAGCCCCAAAAAAATCCTACAACAACCCAATACTGGAAGGGTTTGGTGGGCATTGATCTTGAGTTTGGGAGTTGTAGTTCACCTACACTCAAAGAGCGCTGTGGACTTTAACAATGATTGATCTGGACCAAACTTTGAATGAATACTCAATATGCCCAACACTCGTGTAATTTGGGGAAAATAGATCTTGACATTTGGGAGTTGTAACTGGGATTTATAGTTCACTTACAATCAAAGAGTATTCTGAACCCCACTAACAATGGAAACGAATTGAACTTTGCACACAGAACTCCCACGACCAACAGAAAATACTGGGTTTGGTGGGCATTAACCTTGAGTTTGGGAGTTGTAGTTCACCTACATCCAAAGAGTACTGTGGACTCAAACAATGATGGATCTGGATCAAACTTGGCACAAATACTCAATATCCCCCAATGTGTACACTGGTGGAATTTGGGGGAAATAGACCTTGACATTTGGGAGTTGGTAGTTGTTGGGATTTATAGTTCACCTACAATCAAAGAACATTCTGAACTCCACCAACAATGGAATTGAACCAAACTTGGCACATAGAACTCCCATGATCAACAGAAAATACTGGAAGGGTTTGTTGGGCATTGATCTTGAGTTTGGGAGTTGTAGTTCACCTACACCCAAAGACCGCTGTGGACTTTAGCAATGATGGATCTGGACCAAACTTGGCACAAATACTCAGTATCCCCAAATGTGTGCACTGGTATTGTTTGGGGAAAATAAACCTTGACATTTGGGAGTTGTAGTTGCTGAGAATTATAGTTCACCTACAAACGAGATCTATATGCTGGATTTTGTATTATTATTATTATTATTATTATTATTATTATTATTATTATTATTATTATTTTACTGTCAGAAAAACAGAATGTCACAGCAAATGAGATTTATATGCTGGATTTTGTATTATTATAATTATTATTATTATTTTACTGACACAATAACACAAAAACAGTATGTCAAAGCATACAAGAAATATATGCTAGAATTTGTATTATTATTATTATTATTGTACTGACACAAAAACACAGTATGTCACAGCAAACGAGATTTATATGCTGGATTTTGTATTATTATTATTATTATTGACACAAAAACACAGTATGTCACAGCAAACGAGATCTATATGCTGGATTTTGTATTATTATTATTATTATTATTATTATTATTATTATTTTACTGACACAAAAACACAGTATGTCACAGCAAACGAGATCTATATGCTGGATTTCATATCACAAAATCACAAGTCGAACACTTCCCAAGCGTCTAGGACTGAGTAATGTATTTTCGAATGATGCGCAGAGATCCAAGTCAGGTGGCCTTTTGCAGTTGACACATCGTGATTTTGTCGATGTTTATTGTTTCCAAATGCCGGCTGAGATCTCTTGGCACGGCACCCAGTGTGCCAATGACCACTGGGACCACCTGGACTGGTTGATGCCAAAGCCTTTGCAGTTCGATTTTGAGGTCTTGATAGCGGCTGAGTTTTTCCTGTTGTTTTTCCTCACCCGGTATGGCGACATCCATAATCTAAGCTTTTTTCTTTTCCGCAATCGTGATGTCTGGCGTGTTGTGTTCCAAAACTTTGTCAGTCTGGATTCGAAAGTCCCCACAGGATTTTTGCATGTTCATTTTCCACGACCTTTGCGGGTTTATGATCCCACCAATTCTTTCCTGCTGGCAGGTGGTCCTTGTGACAGAAGTTCCAGTGAATCATGTGGGCCACAGAGTTGTGCCTTTGTTTGTAGTCCGTCTGTGCGATTTTCTTGCAACAGCTGAGGAGATTATTATTATTATCATTATTGTCATCGTCATCATCATTCTGACACAAAAACACAGTATGTCACAGCAAATGAGATCTATATGCTGGATTTCATATCACAAAATCACAAGTCGAACATTTCCCAAGTGTCTAGAACTGTGTGATGTATTATTATTATTATTATTATTATTATTATTATTATTATTATTATTATTATTATTAGAAACACAACAAGATGAGTCCACAGCAGACACTCTGCTGGTTATTGTATTAGATCACACGGCGAACACTTTCCAAGCGTCTAGGACTGTGTGATATTATTATTATTATTATTATTATTATTATTATTATTATTATTATTAGAAACATAACAAGATGAGTCCACAGCAGACACTCTGTTGGCTGTTGTATTGGATCACACATTGGACACTTCCCAAGTATCTAGGACTGTGTGATTTATTATTATTATCATTATTGTCATCGTCATCATCATTCTGACACAAAAACACAGTATGTCAAAGCAAACGAGATCTATATGCTGGATTACATATCACAAAATCACAAGTCGAACACTTCCCAAGCGTCTAGGACTGTGTGATATATTATTATTATTATTATTATTATTATTATTATTATCATCATCATCATCATCATCATCATCATCATTATCCTGACACAAGAACACAGTATGTCACAGCATATTATTATTATTATTATTGTTATTATTATTATCCTGACACAAAAACACAGCATATTACTATTATTATTATTATTATTATTATTATCATCCTGACACAAAAACACAGTATGTCACAGCAAACGAGATCTATATGCTGGATTTCGTATCACAAAATCACAAATCAAACACTTCCCAAGCATCTAGGACTGTTTGATGTATTATTATTATCATCATCATCATCATCATCCTGACAGAAAAACACAGTATGTCACAGCAGATTATTAATATTATTATTATTATCCTGACACAAGAACACAGTATGTCACAGCATATTATTGTCCGGTTGCTCCTGACATGATAGATAATAATAATAATAATAATAATAATAATAATTATTATTATTATTATTATTATTATTATTATTATTATTATTATTATTAGAAACACAACAAGATGAGTCCACAGCAGACACTCTTCTGGCTGTTGTATTGGATCACACGTCGGACACTTCCCAAGCGTCTAGGATTGTGTGATGTATTATTACTATTATTATTGTTGTTGTTGTTATGATTATGATTATGATTATGATTATTATTATTATTATTATCACTGACGTCTTGAAATATCCACTTTCCTAGCAGTAACAAAGAAGATAATAACACTATGTCACAAATATTTAAAAAAATTCTGTTCCTGGTGTGAAAGATTATTTCCTGTTTCATTGTGCGGAACTTGCATTGAAAGTAGTTGTTGTACTCCAGAAACTTCATTTTTGTGGCTGCCACAAACTAAGTTGAATTGGTTGAGAGTCGATGAGAGATTAATTACATCTCTGGTTTGATCCTATGGTCAACCTTCTCTGATTATTCTGGAGGATCTAGAGATGTCTGGAGAACATTGAGGACTCTTTAGGTCCTTCAATGCAATTTCCTAGCATCCTATGCCCAACTCCATGGGATCCATAGCCTTCAGCCACAGCAGTTCAAGAGGTATCAAACCGCATCAATTTGACACTGTAGATGCCTTGGAGGAATGACTTGGACATGCCGAACGACCAGATCTTACACACTTCTGAGACATCATCTCACCTCGTAAATGTTGATGTCAGGGGAATTCCTCTCGTTTTGGTTCTCATAGGACAGATGTTCAGGAGTGGTCACTCTTGGCCTCGCACGGTCAGCTGCAGAACGGAAGAGGAGGCATGTCACCTTCTGTGAAATTCACAAACCCAACCCCAATCCCACCACAACAGGATAGTTGTATACCACCAGTTCTCCCAGTTGGTCAGGGACATCCCCATTTAAGCCTCTCCTGTCCCACTTTTCCAGCTGAGTATAACATATGTTGTTGAATGTTTTCATGGCCAGAATCACTGGGTTGCTGTGAATTTTTCAGGCTGTCTGGACATGTTCCAGAAGCATTCTCTTCTGACGTTTCGCCCACATCTATGACAGGCATCCTCAGAGGTTGTGAGGTTTCCAGGTCTGAAAATTCACAGCTACCCGTTATTATTATTATTATTATTATTATTATTATTATTATTATTATTATTATTATTATTGGGTTGCTGTGAGTTTTCAGGGCTGTCTGGCCATGTTCCAGACGCATTCTCTCCTGATGTTTCGCCCACATCTATGGCAGGCATCCTCAGCGGTTGTGAGGTTTCCAGGTCTGAAAATTCACACCAACCCATTATTATTATTATTATTATTATTATTATTATTATTATTATTATTATTATTATTATTATTGGGTTGCTGTGAGTTTTCGGGTCTGTGGCAGGCATCCTCAGAGGTTGTGAGGTCTGTTGGAAACTAAGCAAGTGAGGTTCATATAGATGTGGAATAATGTCCAGGATGGAAGAAAGTACTCTTGTCTGTGAGGCAAGTATGAATGTTGCCATTGGCCACCTTGATTAGCATTGAATGGCCTTGCAGCTTCAAAGCCTGGGTGGTTGCTGCCTGGGGGAATCCTTTGTTGGGAGGTGGGTGGTGCAAAGACCTCCTGTCTGTTTGAGGCAAGTGTGACTATGGCCATTGGCCACCTTGATTAGCATTGAATGGCCTTGCAGCTTCAAAGCCCGGGTGGTGACTGCCTTGCAGACTACTGGTGGTCCACAGACGAGAGGTTGGAAACCACTGGTGCAGATGGAACCATGTGAGTTCATCACATACTGAGAAGCTCATGCATGGACTGTATTTCCATGCTCTGGCCATGACACTGAGAAGGAAATCTACACAGCTGACATGAAAATGCAAGCACAGGATGTTGCTTCCAAGCGGATGTTTTTGCCCGGACCAACACAGATTTCCTTCTGCTCTAAAGTCCGTTTCCTTACCTTGTCTGCTTGTGAAACATTTCCTCTTTTTCCTACAATTCCAGATTGTGCAAAATCCTACCAGGAACGATAATACGATGAGCCTCACCATCAGCCCCCATTGCTCCCATATTGGTCCGTTACCTACGAAAAGCAACAAAATATCCAATGTTGGCTGTTGAAAAAACAATGCCTTTCAATGATAAACAAAACAAAACAATTATTTATTTATTCATTCATTCATTAGTTTGTTTGTTTACAGTGTTTACATTCTTACAGTGAGACATGAACGACGCACCTTCAAGGGAGCAGACGGAGAGCAAGTCAATGGAGATGTGCTTCTGATCGGAGAGCAGGCAGGTGAAGTTGGAGTCCCTTGCATTGGACCCCATGGAAACATGGAGACGCCAGCCATCGGAGGAGAGCTGATACCAGCCTGAACTTCCTTCTAAGGTCCTGAGATCATTCCCGATCCTCCAGGAGATGCTGAGTCCGGCCTTTTCAGAGAGCCAACACTCCAAGGTCACATTACAGCTAGTTGAAGAGTTGGAGACCATTTGGTGGAGAACTTGCGGTACTGGAACAGGATCTGTTCAAAGTCGAGAGAAGAGTACTCTTTCCAAAGTAGCCAGGCCTTTGTTCCCTTGACAATGTACAAAATCTGGCTACTAGCATTGAGAAACACCAGAATCAAAACAGTCACCACTCAGACACAGGAATCCCCCTGGCAGCAAGCAACCAAGGGCCAGGGAACACCACCCAGACAAAGGATGTCTCCAGTCAATAAACAGTCCAAGGGAACAAAATCCTGGCTACTTCTAGGCAGATGTCCTCACTATTAACTATGCAATCTTTTCAGTTACTCACATGGATGAATCCCACTCTGCTAATTGCACTGTTCAGACTTGTTTAATAGACATTGGGTCTTTCTCCCACCCTGGGTATTCCACAGTTATGTATTATACTCCACTTGGTTTGCCACCATCAGATCCTCTAAAGATACCAGCCACAGATGATGGTGAAATGTCAGGAGAAAATGCTGCTAAACATGGCCATACAGCCCAGAAATCACACAAAGGCTATGAAAGCCTTTTACAACACATGATGATAATGATGATGATGATGATGATGATGAGCGCTGATTGTGTTTAAGTGCAGGCCAAGGTCTTTAGGTACTGCACCCAGTGTGCCGATCACCACTGGGATCACCTTGACAGGCTTGTGCCAGAGTCTTTGCAGTTTGACCCAGTCAAGGTGGTCCCAGTGGTGATCAGCACACTGGGTTCAGTGCCTAAAGACCTTGGCCTGCACTTAAACATAATTGGTGCTTATCATCATCATCACCACCACCATCATAATCAACATCATGTGTTGTAAAAGGCTTTCATGGCCTTTGGATCATAATAATAATAACAATAATAATAATAATAATTTATTATTTTATATAGTAATAATGTTTGTATAATAATAATAATATTTTATATTATTATTATAATATAATTTATTTTATATCCTGTCCTCTCTCAACTTCCGCAGAGGTACTCAGGATGGCTAACAAATCGACACCCCATGGCAGACAACATAAATATGCAATTTAACAACAGTATAATAATAACAGTATGAATCAGTATAAAAAATATAAAACAATATAAAAACAGTCAAGCAGTCAGCGGTCACCGGTTTAAATCCTAATCCAAGGGGCAGTCAATCAATTCTATGTATATAATATATGTTAATATATAATATATTAATATAGTATATTAATATATAATATATAATATAGTATATTAATATATAATATATTAATATAGTATATTAATATATTAATATAGTATATATTAATATATTAATATAGATATATATTTCTATATTAATATAATATCAAATATATTATATAATAATAATATTTGTATAATAATAATAGAGTTGGAATAGATCACATGGACCATCTAGTCCAACCCTCTGCCATCAGGAAAAGCACAATCAAAGCAACCCCCAACAGATAGCCATCCAGACTCTGTTTAAAAGCCTCCAAGGAAAGAGCTTCTACTACACTCTGAGGCAGAGAGTTCCACAGTTGAACAGCCATTCCAATCAAGATCTTCCTAATGTTCAGGTGGAATTTCCTTTCCTGTCATTTGAACTCATGGCTCCATTGAGTTGTAGTCTCCAGGGCAGCAGAAAACAAGCCCTGCTCACTATTCCTTATGACAGCTTTTCCAATATTTAAACATGGCTCTCCTGTCTCCTCTCACCCTTCTCTTCTGAAGGCTAAACAGACCCAGCTCTTTAAGCCGCTCCTCAAAGGGATTCATGGTCTCCAGATTTTTGGTCCTTGTAGTTGTCCTCCTCTGGACACCTTCCAGCTTGGCAATATCTCCCTTAATAGGTCACATCAAAATCCATAATTTTGGCCCAAGACTTATCCATGAGGTCAACTTATCTGGTACTTACCATAGACCTTGAGGTGGTAGAAATGCTCTTGAGTCTCACCCGTGCAAAACCACACCTGGGCCTTATACAACCCGCTGTCCTCTTTCTCCAGGTTTCGGATCCTCAGGCTGGTCTCATTTGCCAGTTCCACGCGCGACCCAAACCGGTCATTGGGAGTCAGACGCTTCAGTGTCCCATCTTGGAATTCGCCTATGATTAACCGTTTGCCACTTTGCAGCTGGAAATCCCATTCAATTCTGTGTAATGTCTCTGATGTGGAAATGTTCCTGATGGGCAGCACAACTGTTCCGTTCAGCATCCCATTGACTTGGTAGCCGGGCATCTGTACCGTATCATTTACGACACCTAAAAAAATCAATATTGTTGTTGTTGTTGTTATCCTGCTTTCCTCTCTTATACAAGACTCGGGCCCCTTCTACACTGCCTTATAATCCAAATCAGCAAAGCAGAAAATCCACATGATCTGCTTTGAACTGGATTATATGAGTCTACACAGCCATATAATCCAGTTCAAAGAAAATAAGCAAACACACAAGAGTCCTTTCTCCCACCCTGGACATCATTCCACAGGCATAGAAACACCACTTGCCAAGTTTCCAACAAGCCTCACAACAGGTTGTTGTACGTTTTTTTGGGCTATGTGACCATATTCTAGAGGCATTCTCTCCTGATGTTTCGCCTGGATCTATGCCAAGCATAGGTAGTGAAGTCTGTTGGAACTAGGAAAATTGGGTTTATATATCTGTGGAATGACCAGGGTGGGACAAAGGACTCCTGTCTGCTGGAGCTAGGTGTGAATATCTCAACTGACCACCTTGATTAGCATTTGATGGCCTGGCAGTGCTTAGGGAAATCTTTTGTTGAGAGGTGATTAGATGTCCCTGATCGTTTCCTCTCTGTTGTTTTGCTGTAGTAATTTTAGAGTTCGAGTCTTATAATTCTATATTTTATATTACTAATAATATTATGGTATAATGGTATAGTACAATATAGTAATAGATAATACTAAAATATATTGTTTATAATTATAATATTGATAATATTATAATGTAATACAATAATATTATTATGCAATACAATACTAATAATAATACGGTATTATAATTCTATATTTTATATTACTAATAATATTATGGTCTAATGGTATAGTACAATATCGTAATAGATAAGACTAAAATATATAGTTTGTACTTATAATCTTGATAATATTATAATGTAATACAATTATATTATAATGCAATACAATACGATATTATAATTATATATTTTATATTCCTAGTAATATTATGGTATAATGGTATAGTACAATATAGTAATATATAATATGAAAATATATCATTTATACTTATAATATTGATAATATTATAATGTAATACAATAATATTATAATGAAATACAATACCAATAATAATACGATATTATAGTTATATATTTTATATTCCTTATAATATTACGGTATAATAGTATAGTACAGTATAATAGTAATATATAAGACTAATATTGTGCTATGGTAATAATATAATATATTGTATTCATATATTACTTGTAAGCCGCTGAGTCCCCTTTGGGGTGAGAAGGATGTCATGTGTGTGTGTGTGTGTGTGTGTGTATTGTTCCATCTTCTTTTTTCTGTGCTTCCTTTATAGCTGCAAAATAATAATAATAATAATAATAATAATAATAATAATAATAGTGTTATTTAATTAATTAATAATAAAACTCCATTGTTGGGAGGTTGGAGGCCCATCTGGATCAGTTCTGTGCTCTCATCCTTCCAAACTGTGGACTTTGCCTGGAATCTTTGAAGGACCTCCTTGGACTTACCAAGAAAGGAGCAGATGAAGGTGATGGAGAAGAGGGCGGTCCTTGGAGAGCTCCATGGTGGCATTGGCCTGCCAGTCCCTCCTGCCAAGGGAGAAGAAGACCCTTCTCCTTTTCAAAGAGACCCACTTTGGAGGGTCTTCTCCCCCATTTTTGCAGTCGAGGAGGAGGAGGACTTTGGAGCCATGCTCTGCCTTCTCTTGGCTGGAAGTTTCTGAACAAAGAGGGGAAACAGTTGCCGGGAAGTAGGCGGACTGAATAAGGGAAGGACAAACTCAAGCCTTAATGTTATTGAGCCATAGTAAACCCTCCTCCCCTCAAAGATTTATAGTTCACCAAGGGCTCAGAAATAAATCTACAGTATTCCCCTTTTGGAAAAGACCCTTTGCAGGCTCAAAGCATCAGAAGATCAAGAGAAAATCAGCAACCAGCAACAGTGATCATATCGAATCCTTTAATAAACTATATCTCTTCTCCATGGCTTTCTATGTACCGTATATACTCGAGTATAAGCCGACCCAAATGTAAACGGAGGCACCCAATTTTATCACAAAAGCGTATTGACTCAATTTCAGAGAAAACTATGGACTCAAATAATGGTGGATCTGGACCAAACGACACAAATATTCAATATGCCCAAATGGGAATACCAGTGGAGTTTGGGGGAAATAGACCTGGGCATTTGGGAGTTGTCATTGCTGGGATTTATAGTTCACCTACCATCAAAAAGCACTCCGAACCCCCACCAACAATAGAATTGAACCAAACTTTCCATGAAAAAACTGGAAAGGTTTGGTGAGCATTGACCTTGAGTTTGGGAGTTGTAGTTCACTGACATCCAGAGAGCATTGTGGACGCAAAACAATGATGGATCTGGAGCACATTTGGCATTAATACTCTATATGCTCAAAGGTGAACACTGGTGGAGTTAGGGGGAAATAGACCTTGACATTTGGGAGTTGTAGTTGCTGGGATTTATAGTTTGCTTACAATCAAAGAGCACTCTGAACCTAGCCTACAATGGATCTGCATCAAACTTGGCATGCTATGCTACCTACATGACCAACATTGAATACTGGTGAAGTTGGGAGGTCTGAGGACTGGGGATGCCTGCCATAAATGCAGGCAAAACATCAGGAGAGAGTGCTTCTGGAACATGGCCAGACAGCCCAGAAAACTTACAACAACACAGTGATTCTGGTCATGAAAACTTTCGACAATACAATTGGAGATGGTTTGGGATCTGTTTTCCAGGATGCCTGCCATAGATGCAGGTGAAATGTCAGGAGAGAATGCTTCTGGAACATGCAGCTCAGAAAACCCACAGCAACCTAGAGACTGAATGGCCATCTGTCGGGAGGGGTTGGATTGTGTCTCCATGCATGGAATGGTCTTGGAGTTGCTCTTGGGATCTCTTCTAACTCTATGATACTATGATTCAGAGGCAGGATAGCCATCTGCTGGGAGGGCTTGGATTCTGTCTCCGTGCATGGCAGAATGGACTTGGAGTTACTCTTGGGATCTCTTCTAACTCTATGATACTATAATTCAGAAGCAGAATGGCCATCTGTCGGGAGGGCTTGGGTTGTGTCTCCTTGCATGGCAGAATGGGCTCGGAGTTGCTCTTGGGATCTCTTCTAATTCTATGATACTATGATTCAGAGGCAGGATGGCCATCTGTCAGGAGGGGTTGGATTGTGTCTCCGTGCATGGAATGGGCTTGGAGTTGCTCTTGGGATCTCTTCTAACTCTATGATACTATAATTCAGAGACTGAATGGCCATCTGTCGGGAGGGCTTGGATTGTGTCTCCGTGCATGGTAGAACGGGCTTGGAGTTGCTCTTGGGATCTCTTCTAATTCTACGATACCATGATTTAGAGGCAGGATGACTTCTGTCAGGAGGGTTTGGATTGGACCCAGTACCTCTTACCATTCACAGCATAGTAGTGTCACAACGCATCAGTTCTACAGTGTAGATGCACCAAAGAGTGACAGACTGATGCTCCCATTGAGATATTCCCTGCAAGGCTAGCTTTCTGCATTTGGTGATATTAAGCTGCGGTTTGAAGCCGAGCTGAGTGGAAACAGCCATGAGGTTTTGAAGTTCTCGTTCACAGGGTGGTTTGCACCAAAGCTTTGCAGTTTGCAAGAGAAGACGAGGCTTCCACAGGTGGTGGCCCTCAGAGGAAACCTCAACATGCAAAACTAGACTTCCCCTTGGACTTCCTTACCTAGTATTTTCAAACGAGCATGTGGTCTAGATGAGCATCTTCAGACACCGATCTGAAATTCAGCAACACTGGAATTGAGAAATGGCCGTGTCTTTATCTAAGGAAACCACTCTCGAAGGGTGCGTCTGCACTTTAACTGAATGTGGTTTCACACCACTTGAACTGCCATACCTTTGTGCTATAGAGGAAGAAGGGCACTGATTTTGGGGTGATCCGTTGACCCATGGATACGGTGACCCGATGGGTTTCAGTATCCATGGTTCAGAGGAATGCAGTTTCGGCGTCCCCGGCATGCTGGAATCGCATCCCAGGTGGGCCGGCAGTCATCTGCAGCCCGGGAGAAAGAAAGTTCATGCAGAGAATGGTTTGGAGGCAGAAAAGGACACAAAGGAATACTATAGAGAGGAAAAAGTTACAATTAATGGATACTTTATTGGGGGATTTGTTACAATGTTAGGTAGGGGAAGAAAGTAAAGCAGAAGAAGAGTCTTTGGTTGAAGCTGCTGCGGTGGCCACATTCCCAAGCGGGCAATGGAGAACTGCGGAACTCCCTGCTGCAGGCCATAACAGCTTCAAGGCAGGGGCCCCTGGCTGGCTCGCCATTACTTTTCTTCAAATTATTATTGTTGTTGTTGTTGTTGTTGTTGTTGTTATTCTGACACAAAAACACAGTATGTCACAGCAAACAGGATATATATGCTGCATTTCGTATCACAAAATCACAAGTCGAACACTTCCCAAGTGTCTAGGACTGTGTGATATATTATTATTATTATTATTATTATTATTATTATTATTATTATTATTATTATTATTATTGCAGTCTTGAAATATCCACTTTCCTGGCTGTAACAAAGAAGATAATAACACTATGTCACAAAATTTGGGAAAAAAATCCTGTTCCTGGTGTGAAAGTGTTATTTCCGGTTTCACTGTGTAGGACTTGCTTTGAAAGTAGTTGTTGTACTCCAGAAACTTCATTTTTGTGGCTGCCACAAACTAGGTTGAATTGGTTGAGAGTCGATGAGTTGGACCCTATGGTCAACCTTCTCGGATTATTCTGGAGGATCGAGAGATGTCTGGAGAACATTGAGGACTCTTTAGGTCCTTTAATGCAATTTCCTAGCATTTGATGCCCAACTCCATGGGATCCATAGCCTTCAGCCACAGCAGTTCAAGAGGTATCAAACTGTATCTATTTGACACTGTAGATGCCTTGGAGGAATGGCTTGGACATACCGAACGACCAGATCTCACCCAGTTCTGAGAAATCATCTCACCTCGATATTGCTGATTTCAGGGGGATTCCTCTCCTTTTGGTTCTCATAGGAGAGATGTTCAGGAGTGGTCACTCTTGGCCTGGCAGGGTCCGCTGCAGAACGGAACAGGAGGCACGTCACCTTCTATGAAATTCACAAACTGAACACCAATTCCACAACAACAGGATAATTATATATCACCAGTTGTCCCAGTTGGTCAGGAACATCCCAATTTAAGCCTTTCCTGTCCCACTTTTCCAGATAAGTATAAAATATGTTGTTGAAGGTTTTCCAAGCGGATGTTTTGGCCCGGACCAACGCAGATTCCCTTCTGCTCTAAAGTCCCTTTCCTTACCTTGTCTGGCAAAACATTTCCTCTTTTTCCTACAATTCCAGATTGTGCAAAATCCTACCAGGAACGATAATACGATGAGCCTCACCATCAGCCCCCATTGCTCCCATATTGGTCCATCACCTGCGAAAAGCAACAAAACATCCAACGTTGGCTATTGAAAAAACAATGCCTTTCAATGTAAACAAAACAAAACAATGTACCATGTGCCTTGAGTGCTACCAAAAGCCTTATTTGTTTGTTTGTTTACAGTGTTTATATTCTGCCCTTCTCGCCCTGAAAGGGACTCAGAGGGGATCACAGAACACGTCCATGGCAAACTCTCAGTGCCATTACACACTGGAAAGACAGACAGCTGTACATAGATAGAGGTGTATGTATAAGTCTTCTTATCTTCAGCATCTTGGAGGCAGTGCTTGGTTCCGGCCACAGGGGGGGGGGTGTGCTGTTGCTCTGCTTTCTCTGCTCACAAGCTTTTTTTGTAAACTTCCTCCTTGATTGAATTGCCGACATTTTTTCTGGCCTTCAATGCCTAAAGGCCAGGCGCTCAATCCAACAAATGCTACGTTCAGCAAAGGACAAGAGGGATCCTCTCACTTCTGCAGGAGTCTCCCGTATACCATGCAGCTGTGGACACGTCTACATAGAATCATAAAATCAAAGAGTTGGAAGAGACCTCATGGGCCATCCAGTCCAACCCCCTGCCAAGAAGCAGGAATATTGCATTCAAATCACCCCTGACAGATGGCCATCCCGCCTCTGTTTAAAAGCTTCCAAAGAAGGAGCCTCCACCACACTCCGGGGCAGAGAGTTCCACTGCTGAACGGCTCTCACAGTCAGGAAGTTCTTCCTCATGTTCAGATGGAATCTCCTTTCTTGTAGTTTGAAGCCATTGTTCCGCGTCCTAGTCTCCAAGGAAGCAGAAAACAAGCTTGCTCCCTCCTCCCTGTGGCTTCCTCTCACATATTTATACATGGCTATCATATCTCCTCTCATCCTTCTCTTCTTCAGGCTAAACATGCCCAGCTCTTAAGCCGCTCCTCATAGGGCTTGTTCTCCAGACCCTTGATCATTTTAGTCGCCTCCTCTGGACACATTCCAGCTTGTCAATATCTCTCTTCAATTGTGGTGCCCAGAATTGGACACAAAATTCCAGATGTGGTCTAACCAAGGCAGAATAGGGGGGTAGCAATACTTCCCTAGATCTAGACACTATGCTCCTATTGATGCAGGCCAAAATCCCATTGGCTTTTTTTGCCGCCACATCACATTGTTGGCTCATGTTTAACTTGTTGTCTACGAGGACTCCAAGATCTTTTTCACACGTACTGCTCTCGAGCCAGGCATTGTCCACCATTCTGTATCTTTGCATTTCGTTTTTTCTG